GAAACATATGCATTTTTATGTCAAAAAGTTAGGCCTGTTTAACATTTGTGATTACACTGATTTGCTATATCGAAAGAACGTGTATGTAGTTGTCTGTTTTATAAAAATTTGTTTCATAATACAAACTGTCAGTATCCGCAAATTGAAAAAAGTTGATAGCCTTTTCCCTGAAACAATTCGTATATAACATCGTTAGTTTGTAATCCTTTTCAAAATAATCGAATTTGATTATAACAGCACATACAGTGTCCAATGTTGTAAGTTAATGCAAACTGATTTATTAATTATTAGCCTTAGAAATATAAGAAAAGAATACTAAATAAGGTTCACTTGTACTTTTATCAATACACTTTTACGTAATATTTAAATCTCTTTGACGACATTTTGAAAGTTTTTTGATGAAATTCTTTCTGGTTAATGCGGAGGAAAAAGCGTAAACTAGATTTAAATTAGTACTTCGATCTCAGCTACCGCTTACTTACGATAAGATTAAACATTTCTATAAGGAGACCGCCAAGTTTTAAAGTTAAACTCGGAGATAAGACTATTAAATCGTACACTCTAGATGCTGATAGAGCAAGCATTACACAGTGAATGTTTTATCAGCACAACAGAGTTACGAACTCTACTTCTCCGAAAGTCAGGTACTTTCAAAAAGGCTATTTGATTTGCAAAGAAATTTACTTTTTTTTTGTTGACGTATCGCATTACAATATCACAAATGTCAAATCAAACAATTATATCTAATTTACAAAAGAAAGTTGAAGAAGTGTAATACATAAATATTTTAATTTATTTAATCAAAAAATTACATTTATATTTATAATTATTTTTATTAAAATTATAATATTTTTCTGTCACATTTTTTAAATACTCTAAAAATATTTTTAAATGGCAACAAAAATTGGATATATATAAAATCATAGAAAAATTGAATTAATCTTTAACTTACTTATTTAAAAATACAGATATTATAAATAAAATAATTATAAATTGTATTGTTATAATGCTTTGTAACATTTGCTTGCAACTGTAATCAGTGCGTTGAATGTTTATTCAACACATTGCATATTCGAACGAAGCACAGAGAAAATAGCAATGTCAAACCCTCAATCAGGGATTATTTGTGTATGCTGTATCTAAAATGATAGAAAAAGAGATAAGAGAAAGAGAGAATGACAGAAAAGGAAAAGAAAAAGAAAAAGAAAAAAAGAGAAAGAAGGGGGAGAGAGAGAGAGAGAGAGAGAGAGAGAGAGAGGCAAAGAAAAGAGAAAAATATAGCTTCATTTGTAATCGACAGCGAGACTATTAATCAGTGGAAACTTGATTAAGAGTTGTGATATGCTGATCTCCGCCTATTCTCCGCTCTATTCTCTCTTCTCTCTTTCATGAAGAATTTCGGGATTTAATTTAATCTGATTTACTTTCATTACATCACACTGCTCCGCGGCTATGTAATTGAAATGTGTTATTTGGGATATTCTCAGATAATTTTAACGTATGCTACGCGAAATTATAAATCAACAATAGCTTTGAATGAGCGAAATATTCTTTAAAAGACAAAACTTAATTATATTGTCACATTTATGACTATAATAATACATTGCTTTAAATTTGCGAAAAGTAAAATGATATAAGATAATTTCTAAAGAAAAAAAAAACAAAATGAAAAAACTATTACGTCGAGAAAAACTATTAATCAAGATGTAATTGTTACAACGTGAAATAATCATAAAACTTGTTCCCTAAAATTAATTGAATCGTAAAAATATTCTTTAAACGTAAATTTCTTTTCCTTCAACAAACACTCCGAAATCTTCTCTGAATTGTCGAAGACGATTCTCAAACGTCACGCGAAGCATTTTTACAGCTTTTCTGCAGAGAAAATTCAGATTACTAACGACAAAGAGATTTCCGACACTCGTCGTATCATTGATGGTTTCAATGAAAAAATTTATTGTAGAACATATCTTTTGGAGCAATTCAACAAATTCGTATGCTAATATACAGCACAATTTAATTATGTTTTTGCGTTTATGAAATTACATTTTCGTGATACTTTTATATTTATTAATATTATATATTGCTAAGTGAAAAATTATGACAAAGATTTATAGCAACTATTTGTCCACTTTTTTACTTTCTTATACTAATTATATTTCATAGTTATTAATGTAAATTTGAATACATAAAACCTTAAGTAAATGAATCCGAATACGAAATATTGTCTACTTTTCTTTTTTCTTCCAAAAAAATAATCGAAATAATTGACGAAATAATTTTGATGAAAATTTTAATGTTTGCGAAGTGAGATATAAAATAATCTGTCTTTTAATGTATAAAATAATAGATTAAAATAAAATGTTATGATATTGTTCAGTTTGCAAATATTAATGTCAGTATTATCAAGAAAGTGTCGATGCAATATCTATCATACTAACACTAATATTAGCTGAGAGTTACAAAAATTATGTGCTTCAATGACTTGCACTTTAGATAACAAGTGAAAAAATGATGATTTATGAAAGAAACGTTCTCAAAACAAAGCTGCAAAAAAAAAAACACTGTGTAAAAAAGAAATCCCGTACACAATATCAATATAGCAAGAAAATATGAAACAAAAAAGGCAATAAAATAAAAAAACACTTTATTTTTATATATGCGAAAATTGTAGCAGTGTGAAGCAAAAGTAATAGTGCTTCGCAACAATGTTATTTTTATTTTCTGTACATAGAGAAACCTCTTAAAAGCTTTTTCTCCAAACTTTTTTCGCGTTATATGTTTATTTTACATTATATAGATACATTTTTTCTTATATAAATATATGTATTTATCTTAAAGTAATTTCAAGTTAATTTCAAATTAATTTTCTTGTATTTTAATATTTATATTTTAATATGGAGTCCAATATATGTTAAAAGCTGCATGAATAAGAACTCATTGACTTGCTTTTACAATGATAAAATTTGTATTTCATTTTTATATCTTACTGGCAGTAAAAAATGTGAAACGATCTCCGCGAACATTTGTAGCTTACCACCATTTTACAGTCGCAGTAAATTACGTCTTGTTTAAATGCTTCACTCGTTTTACTACGGGTGAATATTTTCTCAACGAAGTCAAGCGCGTCAACTGCTTCGCTGTGCTACATCGAATGCTATTCTTCACTGTGTAAAATTAAATTAATTATTTCGAGGTACGGGCTGTGAATTTCATTTACATATATCTATTGTAGTTTACGAGTCGTAGATTGCATTGCTTGTTAAAAAATTGTTATGTTAAGAAGATGCCTTGAGAAATAACTTTTATGAGGTTCTATATATTTTATGTATAAATTTATATATTGCAGAATACTTATGCAATGTGAATTTTGTTGATGTTATATATAATAATATTAATAATTATTTTATTGATACTAAAAATGTGTTAAAATATTTTGAACATTTAGATAGATTATTTAACATTGAATGCATATTGATTGATAATTTTATTTTATTTTAATAAAGTACATAGATTTACAACATATAAAAAGACTTTTTCAATTTAGTTTTTGTTAGAAAATGTTCCAAAATTTGAGCAGAAAATCTAAATTTATTTTCTGTCTGCTACTATTTGTTTTTATTTTCGACATACAATTAATGAAATATAATTATTATCTTTCCAATTAGAGTATTGATTACCCGTTTAAGCGCCTACATTCGTACTAATCTGATTTGAATGTAGATAGTTACACATCGCTTCATTCTTTAAATGAATTATTTATTATCTTACAAGGGTTATACGCTCTGGATATATAAAATTGTTATTTATATTCACGATTCACATGCTGCGGCATATTCAGAACAGGCTTGAGAATAAACTAAGTTTATAGTGCAAATATAAGATGTCCTTCAAGATGTCGCCTTATATCGCCTTATATTTTCCCAAGCTAATCTTAAAACACGTCAAGTTTATTTTATCTGACGATCTTAAAAGAAAATTTCATAGTGGCGTTTTGAGAATATAGAGTAAGATGTGTCCCACATGTGTGTATAAAACTAATAAATCTAAGTTATAAATTTTGTGTTTATTTCTTCAGTTTTGTCAAGTACTAAATTAATCGCATCATTCATCTTGTCGTTGAAAACCTAGCATCGCGTATTTTACTGGCTCTAGTCGTGTTTGCACATTTAATGTCTGACAAATGTTGCACGATTTTGCCGGATTCGAAGTTGGATTAAAGGTCGCGCGAGAGAAGCCAAAGAGTTGAGGCATATTTTCAATGAACATCATGTCGTCTTTGCAAAAAATATATGAATAGTGTTAAATAAAAGTGTGTGTGTGTGTGTGTGTGTGTGTGTGTGTGTGTGTGTGCGTGTGTGTGTGTGTGCGTGTGTGTATGTTGAACGATTAATAAATTTGAATTTTTACTTCCACTATACTTTTATATACTTTTTATATACTTTTTAATCGTGAAAACTTTCAAGGTTGATTCCACGTTTTTAACGATTTGAAATATCAGTTTGTAGCACGCAACGCGTTATTTGAGATTTATATTCAGGATACTATTAGGTGTTGGAATTAATTCGTAGCGTTTTACAAGTGATGGGAAGTACTTTCATTAATGTATTTTTTAATGCTCATGTGAAATAAATAACATTCTTTCATTAAAAAACGCTACGAATTAATTCCAACATCTAATAGATTACATAGAAAGTTTAGTTAATTTCGTATTTTTTAAAAATAAATAATAATATTCGGAAATTATGGAAAAAATTCTGTTTATCTTCATAAAGTCACGAGAAGCAGAAAATTCTTGATCCGATATTACTTTGATATGCATACGTAATGAGTTAGAAATAATAACTATAATTGAGTTGAGAGATATAATTAATCTAGACACTTCTTTAGATTAAACATCACACTATATTAAGAAATTGTCGCTATTTTAACAATCACTCTTCATCAAACATGCTGACGTGAGTAATACGTCAATCATTCTATAGCTAGAATTTACTCACCTTCCATAGTCATATTATCTCCCAGTTTCATCTCGGTAGTTGTCCTCTTTTCCGTACATTCACGCGGCACTCATTAAGCGCCGATTAACAGGATCGTTCGACACTGATTTCCTAAGCTTCATTCTTTCTCGTTTTTTTACACTTACATTAATCTTGATTTGACGACTTAATTATTTCGTTCGCCGTGTTTATTCGCGGACATTTGTCAATTTATCACGTGCACTTGTCACTCACGCGTAATCTTAATAATCTCGTAATGAATCATAATTAACATTTCTTTTTTTTTTTTTAATAAAATCAATAATTTACTGCGAAGTGGATTCCAACGATTGGACCTCTATACGATTTTTCGATTTTCAATGCACAATCAAGTCGCTGCTCGACGAAATTGGCTCTTTAAATTCTTCGTGCTGAGTACGTACGTCCTGAAACGATTTATCTCTGATAGTCTCTGGAGAGGGATGCTTCGTTCGTCTCTGTAAAACAAAAGTAGACGTTGGTTAAAGTTTCAATAGGTATTGATCATCAAAGATTATAGGAATTGAAACGTAAAAAATCAACTGTGACATGTATCCGGATTATAAAATAGATTTGGATAAAGTAGATCATGGAATATATGCTAATTAAACGTTTCCTGTGATTACGTTTCCGTAATATAATTTATAGGAAATTGTGTACTATGCGTGCAAACCCTGTACGGCTTGCAATTCCATACTAATTTCAAAGCGTAATTTATACTGGGAATTGATAGGATCAAATGTGAAGAGGGTAACAGTCGCAATGCACGATAATATTCAGGATTTTCGCATATGCATATCTGTGTCAGATGCCTTTAGTTTAAGGTTAGAGATATGTGGTTGCTGACCTTTCGAGAGGGATAAGGAGTTGATTATAAGCGACGCCGCAGGTGTTTTGGAAGGAAATAGTCCACGCGCTTGCGAGATAACATTGTTGCGTTTAATGTATCACGGCGGCATGGAAGTTATCTTAATACGAGAAGTCAGCTATTTTCTCACTTTTTTCGCTTGCATAATGTAACAATCGGCCGCTTTCTGCAAGCTTGGTGAATTTTAATGAGAAGGGTAAGCGAGTTGCGCTTGTTGTTTTACGGAAATTAAATATCGCAATTATATCTTACAATCAGTTCCTTTCAGGTCCTGAAAAATATCTCAATTCCGATTTCTTTCATTATTCTGTTTGAATTGACCGACTTATTTTCTAATTTTTATTAGGAAATGTCATGATGGGCAACATTTCACATTTTAAAGTCTATGCCGGTGGAAAAAGAACGGTTGGAAAAAAAACAAAAATTGGTTTTTTTGTTAAAAACAATAAACAGAAAATTTTGTTATCGATATTCTAATCATCTATTCTAGTTTAACGTCAATTGAGAAAATGTTTTCCAATTTAAATTTTATTCAAAATAACATTCGTAATAGATTAAAAATCGATGTAACAAATAAATTAGTTTTTTGTCATAAGATATTGTATGGCGAACCAGATTTATATTAATAAACAATTTTAATTTTATTGTTATTATGCTTTTCTCATGAAACTCAAAATTAATATAAAATTTAACAACATTTATATTATCTTCAAAATTTTTATTTTAAAAATATATTTCACATATTAAGTTGAATTAAAAGATACTTTATTGTAACATATTTTGTTATTATAGGTTTGTTTCGTTTTTCTCTAAACTATTGCGCGTCATTAGTACGCTTTACTAATTAAAGCAAAAATATCTTTTTCATAAAGTACATAAATATTTTATTATTGCGTATTAATCGTTTTTATAATGTTTGTTACTTTGTATGTTTGTTATTTCATTGAGTAAAGTCCAAAACGATAAAATTTGGAATTTATCATGGAAGGTTTTTTCCATCCACTGAATTTTGTTGGCCAATCCTGAAATATTGCATTGATGATCTAATTAAGGGATTTATAGCAAATTGCAAATGTGTGCTGCGGTATGGCGCGCGTTGTCACATTCAATTGGTCGTTTCACCTACGTGCATTGCGTAACGTGTCGGTGCACCTGAGAGTTGGTATCTCTACGTGTTACGTGATCCTCTCTCGAATGCACTGAGAAGCATAACACGTCGCAATTGTATTCCTGCAATTTCAGCATGTTCCTGCCCCGATCAGGTACAATCCTATATTGTATCATGCTTGTAACGCGAGATTGCGATTCTCCTATCTCATGTAATTATTTCGGAATTAATATTTACTAGAGCAAAAATTGCATTATTGAATCTTGTTAATCAAATATAATAACATATCGAAACATTACGAGATATTACAGATAATATAACGCGTAATATGAGATATAAAATATAACGGTTTATTGCATTTCACCTGCGTCAAATTACATACGTAATCTTAACGTAATACATATTTAATCGTTAATTGTTAATTTAATTTTTTATATGAAAATGTCAACAATATACAGGATGTAAATTAATAATTATTAAATATTCTAGGGACATATTTCTATCGACCAGATAAAAAAGAGAACATGGATCTAGAAACGTTTAGTTTTTTGGATAGAAGGAATTATATTGTTTAATAATGTCAAACAATTGATGGAACTAGTAATCATTTAAATATTGTCGAACATTAAATGCTATTTATGTTTATATAAACTTTTTGTAATATTTAGAAATACGTTCTTAAAATATTTGACACTTATTAATTTATACTGTATATTGTAATAGAATAATTTATATTGTAATAGAATATTATTTATATTGTAATAGAATAAACATATTTGGTGTGGTAAATACCATAATTATATATGTTGATAAAATTATACAATAAAAATAACAAGGGTAAACTAATGGAATGCTAAAAAACTAAGTAAAAAACTATATGAAGGTTAGAGGTACATTTAAGAGAGCTGTAATTTTGTGGGCGTTTAATTTTGTGCTTGATATGTTTTCCTAGTATATTAGAGTATATGTTAGGTAAAGCGTTGAGCTACCACAACCCACGTCATTCTGTGGCTTGGAGGTAAAGCGAAATAGCTGAACGTAATGGCGGACATAATGAACATAATTCGTGCATTTACCTTTAAGCCATAAAACTATATTGGGTTCTCGAGCTACATATGTATATAAAACCGCTATTCTTTCATGTCGTAAAACGATATTGGTTGTCTTTTATTTAATTTTAAATTATGTCTTTTTTAATATTTATTCTTAGATTTTCAAGCAGGAGATAATATTGAACTCGCTTTTAACTTCCAAAAATAGTTTCGGAAGAATAAATGTTCTTTCTGTTCTTCAATTTATAATTATATTATTACATATCTCTTTAATTTAAGTTATTATTAGTAAAATAAGATGTCTCGTAAATGGTCTTTAAAGATAATATCTAAACAGTATTGCGGAAAAGCTTGTTCTCTTTGCAATACTATAGTGCTTCGTCATGAAGCTATCAAAAGTAATACAGTTGATCTGACTTTTATTTTAGAATTTTGCAAGAACTCTTTTCTCTCCATGGCGACATTAAACGGATTATCTTCCTTTGAAAAATATTGGACAGACAAACAGTCACCTTGCTCCTTGAACCGTGACTGAAAGATGGCCGCTGATCTAATTCGCAGAAATGGAA